CTACCTGCGGATACATTTCACCTCGACTCGACAATGGCGAACGTACAGTAGGTAGGGCATGCAGCCTACTGACTCCTACGCCAGACGGATCCGAAGTCGTGTGGTGTAGCGAACTCGTTACGCTAATATTCACTCCTTTTGGGTTGCGGCAGAACACAAGGCCACAGCACCTGCCATGCCACTGTGTGACCATGGAAGACGGACACCCAAACTTGCTTCATGCCAGGTACGGGATACCTCATGCATTGTTTCGGCGCCATCAACGAGGACCTACACACTCTGTTGTCTGTACCACCGAGTTCGATACTGGCGCTGGTATACCGCAACTCTCCCACCGGAACATTACTCAGTCCAAGAGAACTTGGCCTGGTGCTGCCATTTTTCGCCATCGAGAAAGCCGGCCTGCCGTCACTACTCGTCTTGTCCCGTCCACCAACCCTTTGCACTCGAACGACATTTGCAGAAAGCTGGGAGCATCTCCTGCCCGACTTGTGAGCGAAGTATGATGCAGACGCCAGACACTGCGACAAGCTGCAAGGGCCCAGTACTCGTGGCTTCAAACAGCACGGACTGCTGGGCTTCGCCGGCAATGCCATGCCTCAGCATAGTTCGCTCTGTGCCGCACAATCCAGCACAGAACGATGGCAACATCGACGATTACTGGTAACACAAGATACAGTGTACCAGTAAGGTAGGATCTCGTCAATCACCCTGCCCCCGACGTTCATGCCCCTGGTAGTCCACCTGCCATTCATCCATAGATCCCTTCAGCCCTGGGATGCGGCGCGGCTTGGGGGTCGTCTCTTTTGACCGTTCACGCGTGCTAGAATGGAAAAAGGCTCGAGGTATACAAGTTCAAAAGACTATGTATCCGTATACGTACATCTTGGCCATCGGACCATTTGCGCGAAGCTGACACTGCAGATATCTTAACATCAAATGCCTGCCACACCAAACCGGAAGTCACCACAAGCAAACTCAACAGCAACAATACCGAGCTGGACCTATCCGTAGAGTCTTCTCCGCGCGGGCGAGGAGGCTCGGCGCCTGCTTTCGAAAACCGACCCCAAAGCCCCAGGGCCACCGCAGAAGACAACCCCACCTCTAAAAGCATGGGGCACCGTCAAAGTTCGGACGTTGATGGAGAACGCAAGGGAGCATCCTGAAAACAGCATAAACGTCTAATTTCTGCTTCTGTCCAGTGGTTCATCATTGGATACCGACATTGCCTCCAACAGCGCTTTAATCTATCTGCAGCTAATACGTTTGAAGGCTTGGATTTCAGAATATCGCCTTCAGCACTGGTGCCGTGGTCATCCATGTCCTGTAACGAGAAAACAGAAACATGACGAGGCCGTTGGCCAGTTATGGGCTCTTCTTGCTGAGAACATGGGTCAGCGTTTTCTTCATACAAACTCAACCGGCGTATTCAGTGCGAGAAAAAAGCAGGAATCCGCTACCGGCGGCAGACAAGCGATAGCAAGCTGCACAGGAGTTCATTGAATGAGCGCCGCATATCAATCGAACCCGATTATCCGTACGCACGGGAAAGCCTCGAATCGGCCCACTGGTGGTCAGTGAGAGCCAGTCAGAGCCAGATGTGTTTCCCCCGAAACAAGGACAGGATCAGACGCCGCCCAAGCAATCCATCCCGGCAACGGCTGCGAGAGCAACACTTCCCTTGAAATTTGCCAGGAATAATCCCTGACGGTCGACCATACAGCACCATAGCTGCCATCTGTCTCTACCTTCAACGGCTGGCTGGGCCTGGAGGCACAAAACTGACCTGTATCTTCTCTTCCCCATCTATCCGATTTGAGTGTCTGACACCTAGCGGATCATCTCAGCTCACGCGGGGACTCCAAATCCTGCAACGGAGCTCGGATACCCAGGTCTATGTACTGGTCCCAATATGTATCTACCTCACAGTCCACAATTGCTAGGTATATGGATGCCAACTATCAAGGGCGAGCTGCTACATCGGAGGCCAGCATCGTACTAGTGGCGAGGACCTCATGGGTTCGAATTGCTTCAAAGCCTTTACTCGTCACCTCGTACCCCGGTGCTCCCAACCTGCTGGGCCCGATGCCGCGCCTGTGCTTCCTCTTCTTCTTCTTCCTCTTCTTCTTCTTCTTCTTCTTCTTCTTCAAGTGTGGGCCAGCCTTCTAGCTGCATCTCGTTCCAAGGACCGGACTGGCCCGGTGTACGGATACTAAGCGAGACGTTGCCGAGTAGAGATGGCGGATGGCGATTAAGCCGAATGGGTGTAGGTACAGGCGCGATACATGCATCGTTCCCCACCCCGTTGCCCAACTTCGGCTCTAGATGCCGTAGCTAAGTCGATAGACCCGTGCGTTGCAGGTCGATTCCAGCCCTCGATTCCTCTTACTTCTCGTCGGCAATCTGGAGGAAACTCTCGAAACAATGCCTACAATCGATGTGGCGAAGCTGAAGAATAACACTACAGGCATGCTAAGCGACGCAAATATTTCATCTTTAATAGAGTGAGTCCCATTCCAGCTGCTCGGGAGTTGGGAGTCAAGCCAGCCGGAGCGCAAAAAAAAAAGTGTGAGACATGCTAGACGTATGGGTAACACCAAATCGCCAAAAGGGTTACTCCATCCGAAGATGATGGGAATCTCATCCGTACCGTGCCTACCGTGCCTACAGGACGGCTACACACAGGAACCATTGACCAAGATTGATAGATGTGGTGTGTGCTGAAAGGCTGACAGACACCAATGCAGCCGAGAAACCTTCCAGCCGGTCCGCCAGATAGATGGGTATCTATGGTTCGGACAAAGTAGGAGCGGGTGCTGTCCTGTGCGTAGCGAACCTAAGACTCCAAAGTATCATTCAATGAGAGGAGAGGCGGATCAGCCGACTCGCAGCACTCCGGCCTGCTCCCGCTCCGTTGATCATGGCCACTCACCAGAGGACTATAGGAGATGCTCGGCTCAACGCCTCAGACACACGATAAAGCTCTTTACGAAGACCTGCGGAACCGACATTCCTTTCGATACGAGAGAGACTCGCATTGTGCCGACAAGCAATGTGGATTACGCAGAAGACGATTGCCATCATGTCGTTACGGAGAAGGGTCGGATTTTCTGCCGACCTTGATCTTTTTCGCTCGAATTACCCTTCCGCTCCAGTCCTCGACCCGGGGCCCTGGTCGTCCAGCAGATCGTCCCCTGCCACAGGACCCTGAATAGGATGGTGGTGGTCTGGCCTGACACCCTGGGTCTCGCATCTCGTCGATAGTACCGGTATGGTCGTCCGTTCCCGCCAACCATGTTGTCGCGCAACGTCCGAAACCAGTTACCGGTTGCCGGAAATCCATCACCCAACCCCCCAAAGAATCTGCAGCGACACCAAAAGGTTTTGGGCGAAAGGATGAATTGTTCAAGTTGCCCCGATGGCTTCATTCACCTGGGTCGTTACCCCGCTTCTTCGAAGCACTCAATTCCTTCAATGGCTTTCGGCTCATGTACATCATGTACATTCATAGTAACGCCGGGACCATTCGAACGTGCGTATGGCAGGGGGAGGAGGGAGCGGCGATAAATCGCTCGCAGCAAGATGCTCTCTTCCTGTCCCTCCCCCACCATGGCAACCGCTCTCAGATCACGTCTGCCCGCGCACCGGTCGTTCGCGCCTTGCGGCAGGCCTGCATATCGGGAGGGCACGGCGTGGTCGCCGAAATATTAGAGAGTTTCCGGAAGGTGATTTTGGTCTTTCGAGGAAACACCCCGGCAGACCTTCTTATGTTGACTCATTTCGGCGTGGGAGAGCTTAAAGTCATTGTCTAATCCTGTGGGATATTTGCCAAGTGGGAGCTGAGTCGTGTGTTGTCCCAGCGAGCTTCATCTTCCAGTCCTGTTTCCCCTTCGTCCAGTTGTTTGCGGACTCAATTCACCTCTGAATAGTTTACAGCAGTGAACCCATAGGCCATGACCGTCACGAAAGAGGATACGCACCTTTGCAGATCATTCTTTCCAGAAAACGTGGTCTGTCGCTATGCACTTTGCTCTCCCTCTCTGTCTCTCTCTCCACTACACGCGTTCAACGGAACCCCGTTGCATTTCGTCTACCCATCCCGCAGCCCGCTCGCTCGTCAATGTCGATCCGGCAGCAGCCAGCCACCGGCCGCCGAGAAATAAAGCGGGCTGTTCCCTCCGCTCTTGCCCCTCCCTGCCCTCCCTCTGGTGCCCTCTTCGCCTTTCTTTACCCCCCAGCGCAAGACTGCGCAGTGTTTAGCGTCTCCATCCGTAGAACAACAAGTTGTTAGTTCGGTCGACGTTAGCGTGTGATCTCTTGGGCTCTAGCGCATGTCTGTGTCTTGGCTCGGCGCGGGTGCCGCAGAGCGGAGGGGACTCCTTGGGGGAGGAGTCTGGAGTCTACGGAGTACGTACCTACTGTCTAGACTCTGGAGGTACTTACCACAGTACCTTGGGTGGAGGAGGCGGGAGCTGGCCAGCCACTTCTGGGTGTCAGGTGAGAGAGGGCCCGCTTCCTTGGGTTACGCCTGTTGACGGGAGGTACGTACGGATAATAGTTCTTTACTGACTATCCGTAGGTACCAGAAGGTGGTACCAGCCAGGAACCTGAACAGAAAGGTCCCCCCCCAACTGCTTTGCTATTGCTGGGTGCCTGGCAGCGCCTTTTGCGAGGAAGTGCCACTTTGAGTGTTACCCCAAGGTTCCCAACTCAACCCGTTGTGGAGACTTACGGAACGAGCTGTGCCATCGGCCGGGCTGCACGTGTTGATGAAGGCCGGAATAACGGATGACTAGACACCGTCTCGTTGAGGATGACTCTTTTTCCCGGGCTGCGATATGAATGACTTTCTGAGAGGAATTCAGGTTGAAAGTCATTGCTCATCACGATGCCGATATATCGTAAATTCATTCAGGTTGGTGACTATGCCCAGCGATCAGTTCGCGTGAACTCGAATAACACGAGTGGATGAAAGGTGGGCACGGGAAGCCGACGTCGATCCCATGTCCCCTGAAGTTCTGTAACAAGAGAGAGAGAGAGAGAGAGAGAGAGAGAGAGAGAGAGAGCAACTTCAGCAAAGTGGTTTCCCCCCCTTTCCACTACTGTCTCGGCCGAGGAGGAGGAGTAGGGGGTTTCCTAATGGTCACTGGTCACCCGGTGTGCTGGGTCACTTGTTACAAAAAAACCCTTTTTCAATGGAGACTCTTTTTGGTCGATCCGTAATTCCACGGCAACGACACCCAGCAAGAAAAACTTGAGACGAAAATTGAGCATGGGCCTCGGTTTCGTTTTATGTCCCGAGACGGGAACATTTAGTGAATATGCTTGACGTGCCCCAGGTGGACAGCTCAGTAGTTTCCTCTTTTTGAGAAGGAGGAGTATACCATCTGTGTATCTAAATAAGCTAGAGCCAAAGCCAGTGGCTTCCCGTGAGAAGAGAAGAACAGGTCGCAAGGCATTACTTCCCCTAAGACTCGGCTATATCCAGGAACCTAGTTTCGACTTGGGGTCTCGGAGACTGGAAGGCAAGAGGCAAGACAGGACATGGAGAGGGGTGGAATAGTCGTCCCGTACGGATCGTGCATACGATATCCCAACTCTTCCAACCCCACAAGCTGTCGTCCTGTCGGCTTCCCACCCGGGAGAAAGAGAGGGGAGAGAACGATGGGGGGACTGGCAGCTGTCTGTCGGACGGATGAGAAATTCCCATGGATACGGCCCTGGGGAGTTGCTGGTTCGTCAAAGGAAGGCTCGTCTGAAACGGGGCTCTCGACCGCGGTTCCCTTCCCTTGCCGTAGGCTTAGAGAGAGAGAGAGAGTCTGGACCTGCGATGCCAATGATCCGGGTTTGGCGTGCCGAGGGGAGGTGATTGAATGGATGGTGATTTCTCGTGCTGCTGTGTCGATGGACAACTGCTTGGGGATATGCTTCCTCAGGAGGTAAACGGCTGCTTTGACCATTCATCAAAGACATGCCGGTTACTTATGGTGGCGATTTGTCTACGTCAGTCTTCTTCTGGGTTATTATAATGTCTCTTAAATGTTGGAATAGCTGTATGTGATATCTTGTGAGAAAGTAGAGGCACATGGGGTTCGTGTCCTTGAAGAGAGGCCTGTATGGACGGAGACTTGTCAAAGTCCCTCGAGAGCAATATGGTCGGACAAGTTTAGTTAGAACTGATAATTTCCCCCTAGACCACTTCCGATTTTAACACTTGGCTACTGTTGCGTTATTCACCGCGGTCTTGAATTTGACAGGACAAACACGGCCATGCCATCCCGTGTTCCGCCGGTCACCAGATCGTCATGTCATGTATCGTTAGGCGCGGGCGGAAACGAGTTCGAGGTACTTGCAATGAAGTGAGACTTGGATCTCGAGCAAAACCTTCCCCTTGAATAAGTACTGACCGTGAACAAACCCGGAGGACCCACAGGCTCCTCTATGATCGAACACCAAACATCTGAACCGGCTTCGGGCTTCTTTGATAGAGCGTCACAAGCCCAGGAATGCCAAATGCCCGGCTGACGTGAACCAGTCTGCAGACCCTTCACCGATAGCGGTTGCTATAAGCCACAAGCCGTGACGATTGAACCGTATTTGATTGACGAATGGGCTCCAACGCCGCCTAGCAGAATATCAAGGTAAAAATCTACCCGCCCACTGCAGCATTTCGACCTCCTGATTTGATTGGCAGTTCGTCTCTCCCCATCCAAGAAAGAAGCAGTTCCCGCACACGCCTTTTCCGCAAGTTCATATTCCCATTATCCCATATCAGGCCGGTCTAGTCGCGGGCCCTCTCCCTATTTGAAGTTATGTCCTGTACATCGTATCTGCGACGCGTCGTCTTTGGGCGGGGTCCCAAGTCTTTGGACAGTAGTTTGTCAGTTTATTTTCGTTCTTCGGCTTGGTCGCTTCGTCGTCTATTGGGTCTTGAAGAGGAGGATCGCGCAGTGGCCGAGGTAGAAGTAGATGAAATGCTTAGTTTCTGTGGGCCAGGTTAGTTCTTTTGATGTATCTGGTTTCCTTGCTGCTGAGAACAGGACACTGGGCGGTTGGTCGACGTACCGTGGGTCACGAAGCTGCCAAAGTTGCGGCCAACAATGCAGTGCCATGTAGGGCCCTTGCGCTCATCGAACTGATATTGCCGGAAGTATTAGTAACCATAGATCGTCGAGGCGACAAAAGGGATTATTGTAGACTAACGGTTCGCTTGATGTGCTGGGCAATGTCCTGGAGATCGTGATTGTCAGTAAACGGCGTCGTGCGCTATGTTCTCAGTGGACTAGGGACGCGTACCTTCTCGATAGTGAACTTGGCCATGGCTTCCTGAGCTGTGGAGGGGTCGTCAGAACACAGCGGGGTCCTGCGGAGGGGCTTTCCGAGGAATGACGTTACATACCGACTTCAATGGACTCTTGCTGCATATCTTCGGTCTGAACACCGTCAGTATCATGGGTTGAAATTGGTCGATACGTCGGCGGTCCTCACCATGTCGGCGCTCTTGACCTGAGCTGTATGTTGGTTGCGTCAGCCTAGTCTTCATCCTCATCCCCGTCCTTGTCCTGCACTGGTAAACCATTGTGTTGTCGCAACGTACCTTCCAGCTTCTCGCGCGGAGCGGGCGAAGTGCTCTTAGTGTCGGCCATTGTGTGATATCGAGGTGCTGTAGAGGTCTCTAAGTTTTGCGTTCTCGTCGTCAGCCTCGGCCCGGCTAATTCGTTCGGTTTGCGCGGCACAACTTGCAAGCCCCTTTTCCGACTCGTCGTCCGTTGCTGCGCCTTTGTCTAGTCGCGAGAAACTCACTTGTGGGGAAAGAGGTTCTACGGAGAAAGTCAGTGGTTTCATACAGAGCGTGGAGGTTTCGACTTACACGAAAATCCTTAGACCGAGGAATTGGCTTGGTTTACGAGTTTCTTCCAAGAGTGTTTGTCGCGTGTTTAGAGCAAGCCTGACAAAGTGCCCGCGACAGGGAAGGGTCCATTCGATCGAGTTGGGTGGTAATGGACGCACGGGCCATAGTCTTCCTTCTGGGGTGGAAACGGCTACAGCTGCAACCCGCGCTAGCGTTGACAAGGCGGGGCGGGAGGTCACATGGTGATAGCGATAACGACGGGGCGGAAGAAAAAAAAAACTTCAAGGCAAGTCCCATTTCCCTCTTCAATATCACCAAAGCCTTCTCCCGTCTTCCCTCTGTTTATTACACGACAGTATGTCTCTGCTTTTATAGCCACCACAACCCCCCGAGCAGTTGAGCTCATAATCTTTCTTTCTTGCTATTGTCGAAGCCTTTTATTTTATTTTCTGAGATACCCCTTTACACAATGGCTGCTACCGCCGCCGACGCTATTCCCCTGGAGACCTCTCGCATCTTCGTGAGAGGTCTTCCTCCCAAAATCACCGACGCGGACTTCCGCCAGCACTTTTCGGCTGGAGGTCGTGAGGTCACAGACGTCAAAGTCATTCCTCAAAGAAGAATCGGCTATGTTGGATTCAAGACTGCCGAGGTTGCTGCCAAGGCAGTCAAGTACTTCAACAAATCATACATCCGCATGTCAAGGATCAACGTTGAGCTTGCAAGACCGGTATGTTGATACCATCACCATGTAAACAAACCGATGTCCATATACTCATGTTACCTCTCCAGATTGCAGATCTTGCCCCTGCAAAGGCAAAGGGCGCTAGCAGTCATATGTCTGTGGCAACACCGTCAGCATCCGCTGCTCCTACCCTTGCCAGTGACGAGAAGGATGCAAAGAAGAAGCGAAAGCGAGAGGATCTGGATGAGTCGGATCCCAAGCTGCGCGAGTTCTTGCAGGTCATGGGCACTGGCCAAAGCTCTGCAAACGAGATGTCAGATGTCATGGCCTCTGCCGCTGTTAAAGAGCAGAAGAAGTTGCTCAAAGACGATGAGAGTGACGACGAGTATGAGGCCATCCCGTCTCGGCCTGAGAAACGGCAGATGAGGGATGCACCACAGGGAGATGGTCGTACAGAGCCTTTGCCGGAAACAGACGAGGCGATGCCCGACGCTGACCCCGTCTCTAAGCCGACGGAAGTTGTGCCTCAGGACGAGACTACGTCTGTCCCAACCAACGCTGCCGCCACAGACGATGATTGGCTTCGTTCGAGGACAAATCGTCTGCTAGATCTAGTTGAAGATGGCGAGGTGCCCCGACCTCCAGTCCAGCAAGACAGTGGAGAGACAGTCGGAAGTGCTCCCGTGGAACAGCAAAAGCAGCCGGCGGCCGAGAAGCCCAAGGCCAAGACTGACGGTGGAGCTGTAGCCCAAGCCGCCCCAGCTCCTGAGGAGGTCGAGGAAGATGTCACCCTCGCCACCATCAAGCGAAACTCTAGACTCTTCGTTCGAAACCTACCCTTTAGTGCTAAAGATGAGGACTTGCGGACACACTTTGAACAGTTTGGGGAGCTACAAGAGGTAAGCAGAGAGCTTTTCATATCAGTCTCACGACACTCCGTGCCACACAATCATGTGATGAATCCAGATAGGGACAGCTTACATCAAATGATGGTTGATGCGAACCTTGGATCGGTATTTTAGTAGATGCTTCGACTTTCTGAAAAATGATTGCCTTCTCAGCTCTTCATATGAACATCAGGGATGGACTCAGATTGCTAATTTCCCACTAGGTACACCTGCCAGTCACTGCTGGAGGCGCAAGCAAGGGCTTCGCAATGGTCCAGTTCACGAGTGCCGAGTCTGCTGTTGCTGCATTCCAGTCGACGGATGGTCAGACTTTTCAAGGGCGTCTTTTGCACGTCTTGCCCGCTGAGGGAAAGCGCGATGCTGGGCTGGATGAGTTCGCAATCTCAAAGCTGCCCTTGAAAAAGCAGAACTTGATCCGAAAGAAGGCCGACGCCGCCTCTAGCACGTTCAACTGGAATTCTCTGTACATGAGCCAAGATGCAGTCAATGCTTCCGTGGCAAGCCGGCTGGGTGTGTCCAAATCGGAGCTGCTGGATCCCACTTCGGCAGATGCCGGTGTCAAGCAGGCCATCGCCGAGACGTCGATCATCCAAGAGACCAAGTCGTACTTTGTATCAAATGGTGTGGATCTCGATGCCCTCAAGTCGCAGAAGCGGGGCGACACGACCATTTTGGTCAAGAACTTCCCGTTCGGGACGACGATGGAGGAGCTGAGAACCATGTTTGAGGAGCACGGCACAGTCCTGAGGGTGCTGATGCCTCCCAGTGGTACCATTGCCATTGTCGAATTCGCACAGCCAACACATGCGAAGGCTGCCTTCGCCAAGCTGGCGTACAGGCGTATTAAGGACACTGTGCTGTTCCTGGAGAAGGGCCCTAAGGACCTCTTCAAGAATGATGCCTCAGTAAACATGACGCAGGGCAAGGAGGATCGGCCCACTGGTGTTCAGAAGCTGAGTGTCACAGAGCTTCTGGGACGGGACGACCAAGGCGAGGCAAGCGTTGAAACAACCTCGCTGTTTGTCCGGAACCTCAACTTCACTACTACGACGGATAAGCTGGCAGAAACGTTTAAACCGTTGGACGGCTTCGCCTCCGCCAGAGTGAAGACAAAGATGGATCCCAAGAAGCCTGGACAGGTGCTCAGCATGGGTTTCGGCTTTGTCGTCTTCAAGACAAAGGAGCAAGCGCAGGCAGCCCTCAAGTCCATGGACGGGTTTGTGCTGGAAGGCCACACCCTTGCGGTCAAGGCTTCCCACAAGGGCCAAGACGCGGCAGAGGAGCGTCGCCGGGAGGACAAGGCCCGCAAGGCAGCGGGGCAGCGGACCAAGGTCGTCATCAAGAACTTGCCCTTCGAAGCGACCAAGAAGGACATCCGCACCCTGTTCAGTACCTATGGCCAGCTCAGGGCGGTGCGCCTGCCCAAAAAGTTTGGCAACTCGACAAGGGGTTTTGCCTTTGCGGAGTTTGTCACACCCCGAGAGGCGGAAAACGCTCTCAACACGTTGCGAGACACCCACTTGCTGGGCCGCAAGCTGGTTCTCGACTACGCCGAGGCCGACGCGGTCGACGCGGAGGAGGAGATTGCCAAGATGCAGCGCAAGATCGGGGGCCAGGTCAACAAGGTCGCTCTCTCGCAGCTCATGGGCCAGAACAGGAAAAGGGTCACCATCGGAGACGACAATGCCGACGAGATGGATATGTGAGCGGGTGGAGGATTATCATCATCA